CGGCCCTCCCGTCTCCACCCTCGTCCATCACCTTCACCATCATATTTCTGAAGCATTTAATTCTGAGACACGTTCCCATTCAGCCCAATTTATCCCCTAAACAGCCATCGAGCTGGAGAGCTTTATCTATCAAAAATCATCAAAACAAATCATCAAAAGCGCTTCTTCTTCCCACAAGCACGAACCCTTCAACTGCAACACCACGGCTACCTTTTTGGATTTCTTCCAAGGAGATGGTTTATTCTGATCACTCCCAATGCCAACCACCCCCCCCCCGTTGACGCTGCTTGTGAAATCTCAACACTTTCTCCAGCATATAGATTGACCACAAACGCTTAATTTTGAAATCCAGCTTCACATTGTTTTCAATACAAAACATAAGAACCTTCGATAAACAACTTTTAAATGCTAGGAACGAAGATGCCATACTGAACTATGGAAAACTCCAGTTCCTGGAGAAATTTCCCACCACTTTTTCCCGATATCACAGGGTAGTTTAGGGAAAAATGAACTGCTGTCCTGTGTTCTCTACACGCACTCCTGAATCGTGCATAAAACCGCTTAGAAAGAGAAAGACCTTCTCGTAAGAACAGAAACGATCTTCCCTCATCTGAACATCGCTTCGTTCGTTTGAGAAAGGATGTCAGGAATGGCATGGCTGTTGTCCAACCATACATTTTTATTTTCCTTTTATCATACTCATCATCGAACTTGGTGCTGCAGGATACCATAACAAAAGATTTCAGGTATTGATCTTTGAGGTTTTTGCCTGTGTTGAACCATACGCTAAAATGACAACAAATGCTGCGAAAGATGCGGTACCTACTTTGAAGCTGCCTACCCTCTTTTGTGACATTGTGGTGACGATGTAACTTCAGATTCTAAATGGAACTCTTAACGAATTCCCTGAAGGAACACCACAAAAACTAGCGCAATATGTGAAAGATAAGTTGTGGCAGGCCGACCCGGATAAGCGAGAGGACATGGCTCATGTTGGTCGTTCAGATAGCGACGGTTCAAGCGATCCTTCCGCTATCAGGTTAAGCTGTTTCAGATCAAACCGTGGTTGGAGATATTCACTGGCCTCTCCCTGGTTGTTGATCGGAAGGTAACCTAAAACTTTTCTCTCAGCTTTCCCTAAAAATCCGCATATTCCAGGGACAAGCATAAATACACGGCAAAAGAAAATAAGAAAATTGCAAAAACAAGCAAATCTCCATTTCAAATTCTAAATATGCCCAGATAATTTGCTCGTTTGGTAACATGTGTGTATTATCGTGGGCATAAAGATTATATAACATTTTATCAATGTTTCGCTGTGTGTGACGATGAGATCTTGACAAAGGTCTGGAAACCTCGACGCGACCTACTATGGAAGATTTTGAGGACGATTTGCAGCTAAAAATTCCACCTACTACCTTAATTATTCTCACATTAACATGCAATAATATCAAGCCAATTTTATACCAGATTAGTCCCCCGTCAACCGCCGGGACCTTCCTTTCCTGCGCAAGCTTTCTATCCTCCGCTATGGTCCCTTCCTCCTGTGACACCAACACCTCCTGGAAGTGACGCGTATGCAACACAATGGTGTTTCATACAGTAGAAGGGACACAATCATGATATGACGGTAGATTTTTCGCTTCCCTTCCTCATCCTCCCTTCCTCTCTCCACTGCCCTCCAGCTGCCACTGCAGCACCATGTGGAATGAACGGAAGTGTGCTAAGCAGGTGTTTATATAGCCCTAAGAGTGTTATCACAACTATCCTGCTACAAAACATTGATATCTCAAATCCTGTAAGCTACCCGATTTGTTAGCGGTTTGTTTATCCCATGAGCTTCCTTCTCACTCACTTCATTTTGCGGACGGACACACATACATACACACACACACACACACACACATACAGATACACAAACCGACACACAAAGTTAGCGCTTTATATAATAGAAGGATTGATTACATTGAATTTTGCACTACTGAATTCGCCAATTATAAGAATGTCGAAATTATCAATTTTCCTCACCAGGAAAGGTCATTTGGTCAACCAGGCCTATTGAGATGAGATGTATACCTCCATAAACGCTGAGCTCATATCTGCCTTCCTTATCTGTGAACTCTCGTATAAGGGAATGAAGCAGAAAAACGGAGCGGCGGTCTGGACTCACAGGCAAGAAGTTGTGGGACGAAGTTCAGCTAAATTTCCTGCATGGTAGACTCGGACGCAAGAAGTCGAAATCCAAATTCTAAGAAAGCCTAATTCCCTGAACAGGGCAAAACAAAAAAAAACCGTAACCATTTTTACGCGTCCTCAAATCATTGCTACTGTATACCACTTCCCTTTTCATCTGATAGCCTGTAGTAACGCAGTACTTAATCGATTTTAAGCCCAACCCAGCTTTGCAATGAGATAGCGTCACAGCGTTAGCAACCTTAGGATTTGTAGATCTCTACTTCCCCAGGCGGAAGTGGTGTAGTGGCAAGTGGCACGCTCACCACGCGAGCGGTCCGGGGATCGAAATCCTGGGTCGTGAGTCGCCCGGGCCAACCAAGCCTTCCATCCCTCCGGGGTCGGTTAATTGGTACCAGACTTGTCTGGGAGGATAAAAACACTGACTTGTACATCGGCTGGCCCCGCAAGTCATTGTATAGGCCACATCGCATTCAAACGCCACTGCGAATGTACAAATGGAAGTAGAATGCGTGCCGCATCCCAAAGGGATTGATCAACGGCAAATGCTTTATCCTTTATCCTTTATCCTTTTCTATTTTATAATCCATGGAAGAAAAGGTGGTGAGTGGCGCTGGTGAAAACAAACAATATCTTTAGAATTTGTGTTACCAATGCATTTTTCATACAGTTTGGAACTTCCCCAAATAAAAGTGATGCATTCGATATAAACACCACGTGATAATGGAGGGCATAACAGCACTTGCGAAACATTATTCGGGGAATGTCGTCGTATGTAAGCCGAAGGTGAAGAGCTTGAGTTAGTTCATACTTGTCAACACGTCACACGATTAGGTAACAAATTGGGAAAAAGCATATGCTCAAGCGGATAGATTGAATGGATCAGCTTCATGTGGTCAGCGCTCACAAGTGGTGAACACAGTCGCGAAGGACAGCTGATGTGAGGATATGGCTCTTTCCCTGCCGAACTAGGGATGTACGTCTTCGTCTACCCGTTGACGATGGGTTGAAAACCAATTCAGCCTTCCTCAGAGGACAAAACATAAATGGCCAAATTTCATGAGATACGGGAACGCATAGCAAACAATGAAATCCGCCTCTCTGTAAGCGACAAAGGAGGAGAGTTCGTAGTTTGCCCTCGTATACTAGATCGGGAAATTACTGAGCTCCACCTTAACGACACGTCTATTTATAGTCGCACTACAGAGAAAGCGTTTCTCATACAATGTCACAGGTTGAACGCATCATGGATATCAATTGGAAAATCAGCAGGATTAGCCGAAGGATTAATCAAAAGATTGAAGTTGGATACTCCTTCGTGCCCCGTGTTTTATAGCCTGATCAAAACACACAAGCTGTCGGATGGAGACGAGCACTCGGTTGATGCTAGCAATTACAAAATAAGACCTATAATCAGCTGTGTGGGTGGACCAACAGACCGCATTTCATGGTTTCTTACAAAAATTGTTGGTCAACTCATCCGATATGTACCCTCACACTTACCTAACACCAGAGATTTTCTTGATCGCCTACGTTCTTGTAGATTTCAAGAAAACTGTGTGGTAGAGTCATTTGATGTAACTGCGCTTTATACAAACGTGAACAATAATGAAGCTTTGCAAGCGCTCTCTGAAATGTTAGATGAGCATGGTGCAGAAATCGTAACGTTTGGATTGAGCAAAGTGCACATTATGACTCTGATTAAGGAATGCCTGAACTGTAACATTTTCAAGTGGTGCGGACAGTACTTCTCACAAAAGCGGGGGCTTGCAATGGGGCAACGTCTAGCACCGGTCCTAGCTATCTGCTTTATGGGGAGAATAGAACGACCGGTGATAGCACGCATGCCCATTATGTACTGCCGATATATTGATGACTGCTGCGTAATTACTTCAACACAATTTGAAATGGATGAATTATTCAGCATACTCAATCAACAATCACAGTACATAAAGTTCACACGAGAAGTCTCCGCACAATGGTTGGCTACCTTACTTGAACACACAGATAAAAATCTCGAACTGTACGTATAGTGTGAAGTGGTACAGGAAAAGCAGCTCAAAGAACATCCTACTCCATGCGAAGTCTGCACACCCCAGAGCTGTAAAATGTGCGGTTGTTCGAAACATGCACAGAACAGCAGTTGGAGTGTGTACAGGCGACGTGGAGCGAGATGAGTCACGAAGGCTAGCTTCCGAGATTGCAAGAGCGAATGGTTATGGAACGAGGAACGAAGAATCAGGCTCTCAGAGAAATGCCGCGAGAAATCGCGAAGCTTCACGAGGGCGTTCCGCGAGAAGTCGCGAGGAGTCACGAGGGCGTTCCGCGAGGAGTCGCGAAGAGATGGCGCACCTCCAGTTGCCTTTCATATCGGATAGAATTAGCATGGCTATACGGCAGTGCATTGCACGGGCGGATCTAGCTGATGAAGTCGTTTTGATTAATATACCAGGAGACAATCTTAAGCGTCAGCTAATCCGCAACAGACTCTATGACCGCGCGTGCACCACGAATCACTGCGTTGTTTGCCCATATGGAAGGCAAGGAGACTGTGCGCAACGAGGGATAGTATACCAACTTCAATGTTCAACCTGTGACGAACTTTATATTGGAGAGACGGGCAGGATGCTAGGCGTGCGCATTAAAGAACATATGGCAGGAAAAAGGCGCGGAAATCTGCTTACTCCACTTGGCAAGCACCGAGTAGAGGGACATCAGGGTAACGATTTTGAAATCAAATGCAAAATTCTAGCCTACGAAAACGACATCGGTGCTAGAAAAATGTTAGAGGCGTTTTATATCCGCGTGAAAAATCCAAGACTGAACAACCGTAATGAATGCATGGCCATTACCAATGAATTCTTGCCTTTCATTCCTTTATGTGGACTGTGAGATCACCACATACGACACGTAGGACGCTTACTGTCCATGGTGTCTCATTTTATTCGCTCACTAACAAGAAGAGGAGGCTGCAAAGACTGGTGGACTCGCCACAGGTTAGTTCGCTCGCTGGGATCGTTTATTTTGTACTGTTTCGCTTTTCCGGGAACTCAGTAAGATTAGGCGCTTTACCGGGTGAGCTACAGAGCTAGGACTTCGAACCAGTTTCAGGTCCTGAAGACGACGAATTGTCGAAACGTTGACCAATAAACGTGTTCCACCATAACAACCTGTATGGCACAGAAGAAACAACACAATATCCGAAATGCCCAGGTTCCAAGAAAACCGAACATGGAATTCAAAACATAAAGTTCTTTTACGGACCCAACAGGTAACGTCAGCGATAGGCCAGGTACTTTTTGATGCAATGATTTATATCGGAGAATATCTTCCAATGTTTAGACAGATGATTTGTAGGTGGTTCACGAAAATCTATTTCTAGGATTTCTACGTCACCATATTTCCTTACGTGCACAGGGAAACTTGTTGCCTTTAGCTTCTTGAGTAGGGAAGTTCATCAACTACTGAAAGCACATAAAGAATGCAGAATGAGCCGTAATTTCTTCGTTAAAATTGAGCCCATCCAATTGCTGAAACTAGATAACTGTGTTCAGGCATCACTAAGCTTGTCAAAATCCTCACGACTAAAACCTTGCACGGATAGGTAAAAGCTCTCACTAATCACATAGTCGAAAGTGGGGCGGCACGGCGTATGATCAGAGTTCCCAAGAGGAGAAAGCATTTAATACTGTTAATCGATACGCCTGACCTCAAAATCAGATCCAAAACCGTATGGCCTTCCTTCCTCCTTCCTCCGAAAGAGCAGAGGAAGACTAGACTTGGAACGCGAGCACGAACGTAGAACAAATAAAGATCATTTGGGCATTCTTCGGTGATCAGATGATGACCTGAGTTATCAAGTTTACATTCGAAACTTTCAATAATCACTAAAAATCAAAGGAAAGAGCAGAGCAGGAACCACGTCAATCGAATTGAGCACTGTCGCTTGGCGATGAACTGAACCTGACCAACAGCCG